AACATATTATTCCCTTGAAGCCACTCGTGCATTGCAGGTTTTCAATCATTGGGAGCTAATGCTGGAAGACACAAATTCAAACCTGGGTGCAAGGATGATTGCAAAGAGTGTCACGCAACAGGATCGGCGCCAATCTTATGTAGCTATGGGACCTCCAGTCTGGCTTAGACAGGTTTTGACTCGGAGAGATGTGCGTAACTCTCTCTGATGTTTGGTTTCTATTGGCTTGAGCATTTAGTTTGTGGTTGTTCCTCTTGTATTGTTGCTCCTCTGTTTTGGTTGTGAGGTGTTGGTTTTTGATTGTAATTATTGGTTAACTTTGTATTTTGGATGGGTTCGGTTTAATATATCCAGATGATAAAAAAAAAAAAGATGTTAGATTTGATTTGATGGTAAGAAAAGTGTTATTATTATTATACGTGGGAATCACATGGTTGAACCAACGTATGATCAAATCTAAAGAGAAAAAACAATCCACATGATGACTTCTGAGACTCTAATGACACTCATCATGTGGTCTATATTTTTTTCCTAGAGATGATTGTGTTCTGAGGCAAAGATTTGTTTTGGTTTTTCTTTGTTTCGATTTTAAAATTCGAACCAACTTTTTCAACATCACAGACTTGCACTGACATTAATAGCTAGTCTTATTTCTTCTTGTTAATTTGCTATAAATGTTTTGATTCAATTGGAAACAGTATATATGGTTTCAACTCAAAACAGGCTTAAATATGTGTATAGTGAGAAGCTTCTATCTTCATATATAATCAGTAACCGCATAATTGAGAAATTTAAGTGTATTGTGTGGTTTGTGATTAGTGCAATACACACACAACAAGGCAAGATAGATCTGAAAGATACAATTACAAACATTTTACCGCAAAAGCCCCTCCAAAATTTACGCAACATTGTCCACACAGACATCAAAGTGCGTGAAAACTGATTCTCTTCTTCTTTCTCATTCATACATCAAAGCCGCTCTCTCTCCTTTTCCGAACAAGGGACCCAACAATCTATGTACTTTGTAGATTTTGTGAATGATAGATCATTCATTAACCTTCGTGTTGCTCTTAAATTTCATGTTCTCGAAGCGAGTCGGCACATAGTGATAC